AGAGATAGAGAGAGAGAGAGAGAGAGAGAGAGAGAGAGAGAGAGAGAGAGAGAGAATTCGTACACGCTACACGCCTATGTCTGTCTACAGGAAAGAAAGAAGAGTTTTAGAAGTAGACTTGGACGTGTCTGGTCTCGTTAACGTAGACATGAGCAAAATTTCTACTCTCTATGATGTTGATGGCACATGTCTTCTTTCTTTAACATAAACAATGAACGCATTGGAGTAGACAGAGTGAATATCCTGATAGACAAATCGATGGGTTTGTGGAACAACATCCTATATGTTTTCTCAGCTGTTTAATTTACTACGTGTTTCTGAAAGATCAAGGAACGCACAGCAATTTTCAATTTTTAAGGCCCCCGTTAGGGGTGCCTATTGCTTTCGCCCGAAAGTTTATTATTATTCTTGACGATGGCCCCTAACGGCAGAGCCAATCGTGCCCAAGAGAATTTAATGCGATTTGAATAAAAAATACTACAGAAAATTCGAAATTTTTTGATATATGTTTAATATAATTTTGTCTAACAAAATTTGAGAAATTTGAGTTTGCATATACGAGTTTCCATGGAAATGACGAGCTGATCAGCAGGCCGAGTCGAGCCAGAGAAATTCCGGCCAATCACAAATTTGCGCGGGAAAGTTCGACTAGCAAACCCATAGTTAAAAGGAGGAACCGCTACAGAGAGCGTCGAAAGAACAGGCGTGATACTCTTTCCGGGCACGGAAACAAATAGGATGTTATTTCACTGACCTCATGACCTGTCGTAACATTAACGGTACCCTTGACTGGATTTTTCATAGCTTGAATGTGGAAGAGAGAAGGATTGGTAGGGCGGTCCTACCCATATTTGTGTTTGCCAAACCGGAAATATGTAAAAAAAGTTACATTTAAGTCGTCACTGACAGATAACGTCACTTACTGGGTCCTAGTATCGGCTGTTATGACACATTTATTGATGGCCTCCTTAGAGAGGCTTCGCTGAGACGGGCGAGAGGCGAGGATGCCGCAACCTGCGGACCAACTCTAGCAATCTGGTATACACCCATCCTGGCAATCTACGATAATCTTCGGCAGTCTCTAAAATCGGACCTACATTGAAAGTGCAAGTTGTGCGTTTCGCCTTGTTTTAGGCGTTTTTTACCCCAAAAGCAAAATAATCGTTTAACAATCAGCATTGTGGCGCAGTTGACGCTCCCTCCGACTGCAGTTTACGACGAGAGAAAAGAGGCGAGGGGGCATAACCGAAGTGAGGGTTGAGATGGTTGAGTAGGGGCTAGTGAGGGGCGGGGGACAAAAACAAA